TAAAAATTATTTATTACAAAATCATCAGTTTAGTTTAGATGAACCATAGATGGAAAAATACTTTTTTTACATTATCTTCAGATTAAGCCTAACCATAAATTAACCAGAAAATAAAAAACCGGGTTCTAAGAAACTGCACAGAATAAAAGAAATATTAAGAACAGGAATAAACATTAAGATTTTAAACTATCTCAGAAACTGGTTACACCAGAATATGTATTACACGATTTCTGATAAGTTAAAATCTTAATGTTTATTTCTATTCTTAATATTTCCTCTATTACGTGCAGGGTCTTCTAACACTGTAAATTTCTCTGTGTATTTAGCTCTTACAAAGTAATTGGCATATATATATAACTATATATATAAGTAAATGTATTTAAAAAAATGTGCTAATAGCGCGTATGAGTCGGAAGATATCACGTAAGACTAATTACATTTTAGTAGAATAATATCCTCGCAATTATGTCACGCACAATATATGCCACTTGTGCCGCTCCTAGCTTCCTGTCCAGAGTATTTATCATTATGTAACGTAATGCAATTTACATAACAGGAAACGAAACGCTAAAGCCACTACGACTTTATCGTAGACGTCGCTCATGTTGTTTTTTTTCAACTGTAATATTCTGTAAATTCTCGTCGTGCATAGTTTTCAAAAATATTGTTAGAAGATTGTATAACCGTTTTATTCGATTAAAAAATTGTAGCTATCAGAGTTCTCAGGATCGTTTGACAGTTTAAGGATATGAATATAAAATCTGTGACACAAATGTATGTATAATGTATATCGTTAGATATTGTCACGTTATCGGTGCGCTGTGAAACACAGGAATTTTTCAATTATATTCAAATGCTCGGAAACTTAATTAATGCTGCGAATTGAATTGATCGACATAGATGGGTCAATTACTATTAACTAATATGAGTAGAATATGAAGGAAAAAATTGAATATTTGAATTTAAAATGCTTGTATAATAATATGTACATATACATATGATAATACGTACATCATACCGACCAGTATGGCGAACAATGGACATTGAAGAACGAAAAACAAAGAGTATTAGAAAAACACTCATCGAACGATCGATCGTCGACTTTCTGGAGCTCGCTTCAACTTGAAGGACATCACCTTGATCGAATAAAAAATCAGAATAATCGGAGCTCCGTTAAAAAGTATCGTCTTAGGTCCGATTCTATCAGTATATGATTAACTTTAATCTCAGTTTAACTTACTTTTTATCTTTTTCTATTCTCTAAATTTCTTGAAGTGAAATCTAACTCCAAGAGAGTGAAAATATAGCTATTCTTAGAGAAGAGTAAAAATATTTTACTTCTTGAAAAAAAGTGAAAATTGTCACTCTTTTTCAAAATTAATCTCACTTCGTTTCTAGAGTGAAATTTCACTCAAAAAGAGTGAAAATTGCCTTTTTCAAAAAGAAAAATATTTTCACCCTTCTCCAAAAATGGCTATATTTTTACTCTTTTAAAGTGAGATTTCACTCCAAGAAATTTAGAGAGTAATTCTAAAAATTAGAAAAGGATGAAAAACAAGTTCAACCGAGATTAAAGTTAATTTACATTGGTAGAAACAGAGACCGTAAACAAAGTTAAAGAGTAAATTAAACCGAAATTAAAATCAATTTTGCATTGATGGAACCGGGCCTTAACAACAGAAACGATCTTTAATCGCTCAACATCTTAAATCAATTGTGTCCGACTGACGTAAGCAACTTGTGACAATTTTACGAGTTACAATTGAATTTAATTTGTATTACACAGTTGAAACGCGATAGTACGTAATTTGATGATCCACGCAAATTAGACACGCACGTGGTCACGTAAGACGAGATGACTAAGAGATAACGAGCCTTTTTTATTCGGAAAAGCTGACCTCGAAGATTCTCTGAAATCTGCAACAGCAATAATATTCTAGACGACAGAGTGATATATTTATACGATCCACATAATATAGCAAGTTAACCATATTAATAGCTACATTCAGCAGAAAAAAAAGTAGCTTTGCAACTGTTGTAAAATTTTTTAATATAATTATTCTTGCCTTCAGTTTCTCACTAGATCTAAATGTATAAACCAATCATACCAATGAATTTTACAACAGTTGCAGACGTTCTTTTTCTTTTGAATGCAGCCAATGTTTCAACCTTTCCGAAACAGGTTCCAACCTGTGTCTAGACAAAAGATGACATCACCGACTATTGCAACCGGATTAGGTATATCGAGATTACTTATCTATGGAGAAATTCTTTTGTAAAACATGACATACCTATCGTTCACATTTGCTGCAACAATAACGACACAACTAAAAAAAAAAAATAAGTTTTCTAGAAAATAAGTTTGAAAGTTTTGAATTTTAAAATTGTGTAATATTAATTTTAAAATATAACTTTGGAGTAATAATTAATTTTTGAGGAATAAAAAAAAAGTGGTCTTTTAAACAATGTTCTTTTTCCTTTCTGTTAAATGTTTCCGTTTTTTAATTTTTAAATTATGTCGTTGTAACACACACAAATGAGCGATACATCTGGATAAGTACTTGAAAGATAAAAGTTAAATGCATAAATCAATAATGAAAAGAAGAAAATAAAGCAAAAAATGTACATTATTGAAACAATTGTATTAGAATGTATTTAAATGCATCGTAATAAAATTATTTCAATTGGAATATGCCGAATGAAATGTGCGTGCACATGTGTGGAACACAAATATATATTAAATAAAAACAAATATGTGCAAATATACACAAGCTATTACTAAATTCAAAAAATTTTTAAATAAATATAACATAATACTCTGTTGTGAAAAAATACAAGTTATTTGTACAAGTATAATTTGAAAAAAGGAATATCAAATTTAAAAAATTCCAAAGAATATTACAATAAATAATTTATAGTTTATACGTTTATAGAATTTGATAAAATTACTCAATATCAACGAATCTAGGTCTGTCAATACATGCGATAATTGTGACACAAAAGTAACATAAGTTTATCAACGAAGAAGTTACAGTATATATGTATATATATATTTGAACATTTTTCCTTGAATACTCGATAAACATATCATTAAGCAACTATATAGTTAGTGCAAAAAATATATATTAACGGTTCATCTTATTCTTACTAAATGCAAATAGATTGCGATCGCTCCGGACGAACACGATCGAAGATTTGTTCATACAGTCGATAAGACGTCGGCGATAATGAGCACGATTCGCACCTATTGGACCGATTGACGCAAAACGCAGGAATAAAACATGGCTGAAGTTTACGAACGATAATCTGCCCGTTCGTTCGTTCGTTCGTTCGGTCGCGGTATGCACGCGCGTGCTCGTTTGTTTCGCCTGTAGACGCCTCTTCGTGCTCTGGACTGGACGGGATGGGATGCGTCGCGTCGCGTCGCCGAGCTGCGCTGTGCCACGCGCACGCCACGTTACACCACACCACACCACACCATGCCATGCCATGCCATGCCACGCCGCGTCGCGCCGTTCCGTCGGATGACGTCAACCCGTTTTCCCCGTTTTTCCGAGAAGTCTAGTCGGTATAAAATATACGGAGCAATCGGGCGAAAAAAGAGCGGAGATCGAATGATGAGGGACGCGTTCCAAATAATCCATCAACTTTTTCGACTCGAGTTATAAAAGCGATGGATCAAGCTGGATTTTATGGGAGAATAAAGCGAACGAAAGTATCGGGACGAACGACTTTCAAGATTTCGATAAACGTTGGTCGTTCGATAATCTCACTTTGAAATTCTTTCCGACGCTGTCTGAAGTTATTTATTTATACGTTACGTCCCGATTCTCATTTTACCTGGCATTGTATTCGTATGCGATTTTGTATCATACATTAGATCTGCCGCGTTGCTTACACTTTTTGCACTCGGTATCTTTGCTTTCTTTCTTTTCAACGCCCGAATATATGTTTATCCCGTTTTGAGTGCAACAATTTTTGGAGTTTCAAGCAAAGTGAACAAATCTATTATTATAAAATGCTCCGGAAGGTTCGTTCGAGGAAGTTACAGATGTACTTGGAGCTGACGTATCTCTCGGTACATCGTGAACACGATTGCGAAATATTCACCAACATTGTTACGTGATGAGTCATCAGCTCTTAATAGGATCGACTTGGTTAACTTTGCGATTTGAATGCTGCGAAAAAGAAAATGGAAACGAACGATCGTGGGCTAGCTTGGCAAACGGAGCTTTCACTGACGTCAGTTGGCGGCATCATTATGTCGAAAGCATGAGCAACAATGTGGCGCGCTCGATTGTAAACTTTGCCGTTGTGTGCCACGCCACGCGTATTAATACGGTTCTCCTTTCAAACGCACAATTATACCACACTTTTATCCGTATCTACTGGAGAAACGAAGCGAGGCATATAATTCGTCGATCGGGAAGCACGTGTTACATTCATACGACTATCAAGGTAACAGTTAAAAAAAAGTTCGTACGTAAGTTAAGCTCGTGGGACGAGCGAGGCGACAGAAATCTGAAAAGCGCGATCGACATTGCCGCGTGTGTGCGGGTGGCCCGTTTCGTGTGGCTAGACGAAGCTAGAAAGGAGGCGTCACTCGGGGGGGGAGAGCGATCGGAGCAGGACTATGGGAATTGGCCGTACATCGTCGGAAAGCCATAGTC